GTTAGTGAACCATTTAACTAACGCACAATGAGAGTACTGATTCATTTTCTAAGGAGAGTTAAAAAGTGATACTTTTTCTAAGAGTTACAAGGTGATACTTCTCTGTGCTTCGAAATTTACCACGCTCGTTTTCATTTAAATTTTGTTACTTCTTACTGTAAATAGTTTTTTGTGTTCTTTTAATAATTTTAAACTTTATTGATGGATTTTTATCAATTAAAACTTTAGAATAATTTGAATAGCTCTTCCGAAAAGTATTATGGAAGATAAGCAATTTTTTAAGTATATTTCCATGTAAAATAAAGAAATAAATGTTTTAAGGGCTAATTTTAACATATATAAGAGCTCAAGTAATAATCTAAAATGATACCAAAAATTACGATGCTAGAAGCGAAACTTTTGTTTTTCTGATTTTTGTTATAAAATTAGGCTTAACGATGCAAAACCTCCGTCCTGTACGGTGACTGCCTTCGATTCTCTTCCGTCCCGCACGAGCGTTTTAAACAAAGGTGCGCCGTCGCGAAAAGGTTAAATTTAATTAGTGCTAAAATATGTGCTAAATTATTGTTTAAAATTTTATTAAAATAATTAATAATAAAAATATTTTTATATATATATTAGCAAAATATTTAAAAATGAAATTAATCTATAAAGTAAATTGTGCATTTTGTATATTTTAAAAAATCATATTTCCAGAATAAATGCAAATCACGTTAGCAATTATTTCACTGCTGAAATATGATTTTATTTATTATTTTTTAAGTAAGGACGAATTTATTTGAATTAATATGCTGACATAATATGAAACATTTTACCGCATACAGTGCAAAAGTACAATTTTCACAAAGATATTATTGTGCATGAAAGATGTATTCATGGATAAAAATGGGGTGATTTTAAGAATTCCAAGAAAATGTCCAGTGTTAAAAGACGATGCTTATTTAATGGCTGTCCAATAATACAGCGGAAAACTCACCGACAGTCTGGAGAAGCAGAACAGAAAAATTAATGGAAAAAGAGAAATTTTAACACTTTTGATGGAAAACGACAAAATTAATGGATTTGATAAATTACTAATAAATGTTGCCTTAGAGAAACTGTGAACAAAAATTTTAATTGATTTTATTCACAGTTTCTCTTCTATTTCTAAAGGTTTGTAATAAAACATTTTAGTGATCCCGATAAATACTTTTTTGTAAATATAGTCTTATGAATATTGTTCATAATTCTATTCAGTTGAAATAATTCTTCTAGGCCATTTAAAAAAGATTCTATTAAATTATCAGAAGAACCGTCGAAAGGTTTAATGCAATCGTATAAATTGCCGGAAGTTACACTGCATTGACAATGACTCTGCCGATGACAATCCATGTACATTATTTACCGGATGCTTATATAAACGAACATCTCGAGGTTTGAGTGCTTTGGCTAGCTGCCAAATTCGAATAAGTAACTGCACAATTAATTGAGGTTCCAACAATTCTTTTAAGTAATTTGGCAAAGATGACATCTGGCTAGCATTGTGCTTCGGTTATTAAGTCCTATATCGTATATCATTTATATTAATTGATTATTTTGTTCATAGTGAAAGGTTGGTGCTCAGACTTTCCGCATATGATAAAAAAAAATAGTGTTAAGAAAACATTAGTAGTACTATGAAATGTTGCAATCTATAATTATGTGATATTGTGTAATATTAAAAAACACTAAATATTTTTTTATTGATTGGAAATTGCAGTTTTATTACTTCTCGTTTGGTATCTATTCTTCCAAACACTGTGTAATTCCCATCTTTTATGCCTTTATGTTTGTCTATTAGATTATCTCAATAAATGAATGTTGGAAATTAGGTTTTATTCTTTATTAAATTTAAGTCTATTCTAATTTCTTCGCTTACTTTTTATATGCTGTGATAACAAAGAAATTCATAATAAATAGAATCAAAAAGTTTCATCGTGTGCTATTTAACTAAGAGCTTACTGTTTTTTAATATTACACAATATACTTGGATTTACTATCGTATACTATATTATATAAATTATTTCTGTACAGTATCAAAAGGAAAGTTATTGATTATAAAAAGTGCATGAAGTGATCATTGTTAATCTACCACTATTCTAAAATATAGAAACTAAAAGGGAAGTAAATACATTTACATATGATCGAAAGAAATCGTGTTAAGAAACATCAGCATTACTAGTAAATACTGCAGTCCATAATTATTGCACTTTTAATTGCTTGCTGTTTAAAAAACTAATTATTTTTCTTTAATTGGAAATTTTAGTTCTCTTACCTTCCTTCTGCTATTTATACTTTCAAACACTGCTAGTTCATGTTTTTTCTCAAATATTTGTCATGTATGTTATATGTTAGGTTATTTCATTTTAGATATGAATATGGGAAGTGTTTTTTGGTTATTAGATTTAATATGAAATATTTTTGATGCATTATTAACTACTGTATACAGTCTTTCATTTGCATACCTTGGAGATAAAGAAGTTATTGGTTATATTTTTTACTATGAAACACGAATAAATTTTTACTTGAAGTCAGGTAAAAAACTGATTATATTACCTTATGCTTCCTAATTTATTATGACGGGCAATTTTTATTGTCTCTGAGATTTAACAGAAATAAATGTGATAATGCTATTATAATCAGAAATGCTCTTTTTCTCACCCACATAATCTAGCTTTACTTTTAATTATGTCTGATTGAGTTTTATTTACTTAAAACGTACTATTATTGTTATATATTTATAATAACCACTTTCATAATTACTCTCACATAATCTAAAGGATTAAGAAAAAATGATAAATCTTAAATAATCGTAATTTAAAATCTAAGTTATTTAAAAAATATATTTTAAAGTACTGAAAATAATTAAGGCTATTATTAATCATGAATATTTAGTCTAAAGAGAAAAAAATGTATTTTTTGGTTTTTAGAAAATGATAAAATATTTAAACTTTAGAAAAATACAAGGAATACAAAATTTTAAAAAAGAAGAAAAATACGTTAATTATTAAGCTTATTTTTCTGCATAAATCAATATGTAACACAAGGACATAATAACCTTTTCACAACTGTTGCGAAAAGGTCGAATTTTGCGAATATTTAGGCATTGTTTAAGACGTCGTGATATGATGCTTTCACAACCAAAATATAACCTGAGAAAGATGCAATAACAACATCTATTCAAAATAAACCTCATCTGCAAAGACGTCTTTACAACTGTTGCGAAACAGCGGAGTTTCGCTGACATCTGGGCATCTTAAAGATGACATATTGCAATGTTTTTGCAACATGACTCGCGACCAATGTTGCCGTGCTACTTGGGTGCATTTCCAAGCTTTTGGTACTGCAATATGAAGTAAGTATTTATGTTCAAGGTATAGTGTCAGACATTGTAACGGATGTCGTGAAAGGAATCTAACCTCTGCCAGCCTTTTTTCTATAATGTTTCTTGCATTAGTACAGGAAATATAGGTAATTAGCTCTGAAAGGCAAATAGCAAAACTGAAAATATACTTATTGCAACTGTCATTGTTACCAACTCTCACATTTGGTCATTTCCTCTGCTGATAACGGACTCTGTTTTGGAACCACTGGTAGTAACAGTGTGTATTTGTGTCTTTACTCTGAACATGTGTGCAGGCAGTTCATTGATATCAAGCAGGCCACATTCACAAAAGTATAGTGTGACCTTGTCAAAACTACATGCTGTATGCATTCCTCCTACCTATGCAATTTCTGTTATTTATATATCAAATTAACAAGTGTTTGCATGTTGTTTTGAGGTTATAGAACAGTTTTGCTAGGTAAGTGACTTTATTCAATTTTGTAGACTCATATTTAAACTTTGCGCATTGTATATTAAAGCATGCATATTAATTGTAAAATTTCAATTTAAAGTCACAATCTTCAACATTATAAATTTGTGGCACAAGATTATTTGGCATATATATGATTTTGGTAGTGCTTCAAACTAATTTTCTTGATATTTAAATATAGGTATAACTAATTATGCAAATAGTATGCAAACTTACTCTAAAATCTTGCTATATGAACATTAGGGTTGTGCACAAGATGGTGATTTTGGCTAGATGGGCTAAGGTTTTTCTGTTTAAATTCATTGGCTGCCATGCTCGTACAGATGTTAGTGACATTGACTGCCATTCCAATGGGCCCAGGTTCAAATCTTGGAGAAGGCATAGATGTCTGTAAGCATATAGAGTCTGTACAACAGGGGGCACTCAAAATATATAGTAATTGGAAAGTCCTCTTGAGAGGTTGATGGTAAGGGAAAATGATCATAAGACCCTCAGACCAGATATAAATTATGATATCACAATAGAAAACTGTTGCAAGAAAAGAAGTTTGTTAGTTATTGAACTAATTTCAGATTAGTATAATACCATTTATATTAATGATGTATTTAGATGAGCATAATTCCATTTATATTAGACATGTTTACATCAAATATAAAAGGAAATTTAACAGATTTAGAATATCATCAGAATATCGTGCATGTTTTTTAAAAATGTTGCTTTGAATCGATCGTAACAAAACTTGGAAATTAGTAGTAGAATCTATTAAATGCTAGATCTTTGGGGCTGCAGCTAAGATATTCTTTGCTAAAAGATCTACAAACTGTGTGCTCTGAAATATTTATTTCTATTGATCTGGAGACCATCACAAAGTGTGTGTGGAGCAGATATTGTCAAGAACATGATTATCGTCTTTTTATTGTTTGTGCAACTGGGAAAAAAGTTGCATTAAATGCCTTTAAATAAAGTATGGATGGTTTTCTTTATATTTTATTTGATTCCCCCCCCAATTCTGTGTTTGTAAATTTCAGAAATATCATTTTGAATTACTCTGTATTTAGCATTTTGAAACCAATTTTAGAGCTACCATTTTAAAAAGAAATTAAGCTTATTGATCATAAATTTTTAAACTAAAGATATATTAATTCGATGTATCTTTCTTTTGTGCAGGAAAATGATGGAAAAATAAGAACTACTGAAACAGAAGTATTTGTGGCAACAGCTCAGAAAAAACTAGCTCATCACAGAATGCAGTTATGTCGAGAATTATGGGATGCTGGCCTTAAAGTAAATAATTTTGTAACATTTTGCAAATTATTCAAGTGAAACTGAGATATTAATTAATATTAAAATTAGTGGTGCTTCAGCTGTTTACCTGCTCCTCCCCCTCCCCCCAAAAAAAAGATCCTTGCTCCTCCCTCCCAAAAAATTATGTGTAAATTATCCCCCATTTAAACTGAAATATTTTGCATTTATTTTTAAGAGGGGGGATGTCACTAATTTTTTGAAAGGAAAAAAAAAAAAAAAAAAAAAAAAAAAAAAAAAAAGGGAGAGAAACTGAAAATATTTAAAAAATACTGGGTCAAAGTATTATTTATATAGTTTAAATTTTTCTCATGAATTTCATATTCATTTTTTTAAGAAAACATGATGTAACATATCGAGACATATGGATCAAAGAACTGAAACAGCTCATTTGTTATTTAAAATGATATAGATAGGTACACATATTTTAATACATACTTTTAATTAACAATATTATGAGTGCATTGGAAATTATCCAAATGAATTAGATTAGACTCATTTTGGGTAACCTGGGTTCAAATTATTTTTTATGTGCACATCGTCTTCAATGTGATATGGATATATAAATGCATGCTAGTACAAATTTCTGGTTAATGATGTTAGAAATATAACAGTAATTCATTTATTTGAATGAATATGGCTATTACTTTCAGATAACTCAACCCCCCCCTTTTAAATGATTTGTTTTATGTACATATGTTCTTTATTCGTAATGAAGGGGAGAGATTAGGATTTCTGGAGCAAGGCAAAATTTCATGGAAAATTTATTGTGGCTCTGACTGTTGTAGCATCATTTGTAGCTCGGATTGTGTAGGCGATACTTCATCTCATTTCACACGTTTGAAAGCATAAATGAAATGAGCATCCATACTGCATTACCACCTTTACAACTTTAGGCATGTAAATCTGAAGCTTTTGACCAGCGATGTCTGATAAAACTTTCCTTCTCAAATCCTCACATAAAGATGTCTAAAGGGCTGTAGTCAACGATCTAAAAGGTTTGAGTCTTTTTTTTAGCCAAAAGGGGCAATTTTCCCAGAAGGTCTATTAACCCTTAACTGCTGCGGAAAACATGCAAGATTCACAGTAGTGCCACCGTTTTTTTACACAGGTGTGTGTAGTTATGTGATGTATTGGAGGAAAATAAGTACAAGTTTTGCTGTCTAAAAACTGTTTACTTTCACAAAATAAAGAAAAAATTTAATGTTTAGATTAATAGTGTAATAAAAAAGATGTAAATATAAATAAGAATGATTGTATAATAAAAAAGACTGCTAATAAAAAAGATCCCAAAGAATGAAGTTTTGATCCATTTATTTTTAGACTAGTAAAATGTAATATCAGATTTCAGTGTTATACCTTGTAAACTCAGTATACCTAAATGGAAAATGTGAAGGTGGCATAGGCAAGTTTTTCATATCAAGTCGTACCCAATGTCGAGCATCTTTTGGAGAATAGTCGCAATCCTCTTCACCTGACGTAATATATTCTCATGTATCTGAGTATGAAGATGACGGAAAGCTATCATCTATTTCACTGTAATGCATATTCATAAAAAAAAAAAAAGAACCTACTACAAACAGTAAATGAAAACAGAAGACAGAATAAAAAAAATATGTTTTACTCAAAACAGAAACATGAGCAATAACTGAGCATCACTGTCTGACATATTAATAAAAAAAAGCACCTACTACAAACAGTAAACAAAAAAGGAAGACACAGAATTAAAAAAATGCATTTTACTCAAACGACCAATAACCATGCAGTTATTATTTTCACCGTTTCAGAAACATCGCCTTCCCATCCCCCCCCTTCTCTGAAATAGTATCCTCCTTTGCATACTGACAAGGTCTTTGTGGTGTTACATTCCAAAGCTTTGTGAATAATTTTACTGGCAGCGCAAAGCAAATGGTAGAATTTCGGAAGGCCGTATATGTACGCCCGGGTCAGTTAATGCATCGTCTGAGCAAGGCGTATATATACGCCCGGGGCAGTTAAAGGGTTAATTTAATTTTGCGTTAGTTCACTATAAAAGTTTTAATCATTTTTCAAATTGTTGCCACTAAATATTAGAGCTCTGCATTATATTTAAAGAAATTAAATAATGAAGCATCTCCATGAATGTATGTTTCTTGCATTGTGAAGAAACAATGGTACCTAGAGATATAAAATTTTGAATAACATAGTCCTTCACTCCAATATGGGTATCTGGAAACCCAAATTTATAACTTGTTTTATTATTTATTTCATATTTTGTAAAACTTTGACAAATTTTTTATTAACAACCTCGCCAATTTCAAAATGTTCCATTAACATTAACATTGCGTGCATCTTGGAGCACAGATGTTTTATGCACAAGGTTTCTTTACATTTCTTACTGATATTATGTTGGTAGCTTAGCAATGCAAAGATGTTGCGATGTCTAACAGTATTTTGCGCCGAATAACTTTATCACTTTTTAAATCCCACTTTGAATCTTCCATGAAAAAAGTGCCACTTTGTAATATAAAATCTTAAAGCTTCCAGTTTTTTTTTTTTTTTTTTTTTTTTTTTTGTAATTTGAGTAAGATTATCCACTGATAGATTTCCTTAAGGATCGCATCGGAGGTAGTTTAAATTTTTTGTAACTGACACTTTTTTGTTCTTCCGCTTCTGATATACCAGGTGTGTCATAAATTCGTGCAAAGTTAAAAAAGTTTCCAAAAGTAACCGACAGAGGGCACTCACACGTCATACTGAGATGTTTTATTCAAATCTTGCAAACAGAAACAGACAAACAGATCACAATAACATGACACTAGGCATTTATTTCTAGTAACAGATGTTCAACATTATCACCACCACCACCACCACAAGGTAATAGGCAAGTGACGCGTGTCACTTACCTCATTACAGCAGAGTGTAGTATGTTGCAATCAATGGCAGCGACGGTCAGTCGAATGGCATTTTTCAGTTCCACCAGTGGGGTTGGGGAACCCGGGTACACAAGAGACTTTAAGTATCTCCTCAACCAAAAATCTGCCATGGTCAAGTCTGGTTATCTTGAGGGTCACTGAATCTTACAACCTCAACTTATCACTCGGTCTTCGGTGAAAGATTCCAACAGGAACGTCTGGACTTCGCGTGCAATGTGTGGCGGGGCACCATCATGCATGAAGGTGACAACAGGTAACGCATGTCTTTCCTGCAATGCAGGCACAACATGGTCATGCAAAAGCATAAGATACCGTGCTGCAGTGACTGTACAGGTTTTTATGGTGGGTATAAGACTGGGTTCTTCAAAAAAGAAAGGGCCCAGAATTAAAAGATGTATTGAAACCACATCAAACAGTCACATGATGAGAATGCAGTGGCTGGCTCTGGTACTCACGAGGGTTTGACGTCGCCCAAATCATCGCTGTTTGATTTTGTTGTTTTGCATATTGACGTCACCATGCAGTGAAAAGTGGGCTTCATCTGTTCCCCGTTCTTCTCCCAGCTTCATGAGCACTGCTACTCCCCATTGATGTCTCGGCTGCCATATCTTTTGTGACTTCACTGACGGTCCTCCAAAACTCCCCGTTTCCTCAAAACATTGTACTAAATTCTTTAGCCCATTCAATGAAATAGGGCTTTTTGAACCTTCAGTCCTTTCTCCACTTGAAACTTTCCCAGTGTAACAGTTGTTAATTCGCCATTCTTGTAGAACAAATCAACCACCAACACCCGATTTGATAAAGAAAGCATGCTGCCGGTTTCGAATGACGGATTCATTTCCAGCCAAGTGTTTTATTGATAGCTTGATTTGCATAAAACATCTCAGTATGACGTGTAATCACCCTCTGTCGATTACGTTTGGAAAAATTTTTTATTTTGGACATGGAAAAAAAGTTTAGTGTCTTTCTGACCATATTGGCGCAAACAGAAATTTTTTTCCTGCATTCCTTCTTTTATTACGAAATTTTGAACTTGGCACGAATGTATGATGCACCTGGTATATTCAGTTTTAGGGAACTTATTTTAAAGCAAATTTGACAACAATTTTTTTTTTTGGTCATAAACATATATGTACCTGAATTTTCACATATGGTACATTGAGATCAATTATTTACATTATAAAATCTGTATTATAACCTCCAAATGATAAAACAATGAAGAATTTCATCTTGAAAAGTACAAGATTAATTTTTAAACTTAATGGATTGTTACCACCTTTTTATTTTTTAGGGTCCAAGGTGTCTAGAAAAGAAGTGGTGAAAAAGAATGACACATATAAATCCAAAGTAAATGTGTTTATTGCTTTGTGATTTACACAACTGAAAAGAGCTAACAAATTTTTATTTTCATGGCTAGCTCTAAATGAACTCTAACACCTTTAGGTTTTTTTTAGGGGGGTATGACATTTATCAAACTGCAGCTGTTTAGATATCATAATGTGGGGATTTGTGAAGGAAATAGAATTGGATGCCTGTGGGCGAGAGCTTCAGATTTACATGCCTAGGTTATATAAATTAATGATGCAGTATCACTGATGCTTTCAAATATGTGACATGAGATTGAGTATTGCCTGTACAGTCTGAGCTGCAAATTGGATTCACATAAAGGTATTCTAAATCTTTTTGAGTAAATCTGTCTAGCTATGCAATACCAGTTTGAAATCCAATCTAGACCATCAGCCAATAAATAAATACATGAATAAAAAATACTATATAAAAAAAAAAAAAAAAAAAACTTCTCACAAAGTCTAGGAATAGAGAATATAATACTCAACAAATGGAACCAGGTGTGCCATAAATGCAAATTTTCTCCTGACTTACTGAGATACATGTTGGCCAAGATCATATTTTTTTTCTTTTGAGTGATTTGGGGGGAAGAGTATAGTAGTTTTCTGACTTAAACATCAAGTGAAATCAGTGTTGCTATGTCTACATGTCATCTTCAGTAGATTTAAACTTATGGTCTAAAATCTAGAAATTTCTGAAATTTAGAATTACCAGAAAAAAAATGTGCATTTTTTTTTTTTTTTTTTTTTTGTTTAACTTCATTCCCAGTTACTTTATATTAATTTCTTTCCTTAATCTCATGGCCTTCAAGGGATATCCAAAAGTGCTGTCTCCTAGTTAAAAAATATTAAAAGAATTATCTTTTTGTATTATTTTATTATTAATTATCCTATGTATTTCATGATATATTTCTAATAATGAAATTATGTGTCATAAAATGTGTACTATATACATGCACTTTATTATACATATATAAAACAGTGCTACAGATATGAAATTAAAAAAATTGTATTAAAAAAGACATTATGAAAAGTGAAATAGATAACTGGTAGAATATTGAATATTAATATGAATATTTAATAGTAATGAATAACGTGTTTTTTATTTGTATGAATAAAATTATATTCTGATTTTTGTATTCTTACTTTGCTATTTTCTGAAATATAGGCAGAACATTCCTATAAATTAAATCCTAGGCTTCTGGACCAGCTACAGTTTTGCGAAGGTCATGGTATACCTTATGCTATTATCATTGGAGAATCTGAGCTTCAAAATGGCATTGTAAAATTAAGAATTATTGAGACAAGAGAAGAGGTTAGGTTTTTTTTTGTTGTTTTTTTATGTTAATGTTATGTATATATTTGAATTGAATTTTTTGTTGTGTATATTTATTTCAATTGCATTTATTTTTAGATTGAAGTTCCTAGAACTGCTATTGTTGAAGAACTGAAGAAAAGGTGCAGAAGTATACAAGTAGCTGAGAATGGATGTGATCCGTAGCATTGTATTTTAAATAGACTGTTTTAAAATTTTTGCTCCATGTTTTTATCATGGCTTTATTTAGTATTTATTTTGTGTATTTAATAAAAGAGATGAACATTTAATACATTAATATTTAAATTTGCATTTGTGCCTCATTTGTTCTTGAAGTTTGTTATATTGAATATTTATTTGTTGACTCATCCGGCATGTAAGGATTTAATTTGTTGCTATATTGTAATGAATTTTAAATTTTGTGATAGAAATATCAATAGTTTTCATAATTATTTTGACTGGTCTGTACTGTAAATTATTTCCTGCTTTTATATAAATTTTGTATATGTCTTTGTACAAACCAAAGCTATTAATCTAAATACCAAAGAATATTCCATTAATAAAATGGATATTGTTTACAAGTTTTTGTTTTTATAAACAGGATTTAAATTTTATTCTTTACTAAAAATTGATATACTCCACTTACATTTTTATTCCTTAATTTTTTAAGGATAAATTATTTTGGGAAAACATATTTTGCTTACTTTTTGTTTATCACTGTCTGGTCAGTGCTTTGCAAATGTTTACATTTTATTTTCTTAATTTTATTTGAAATAATTACAGCATTTACGTCCAGTAAATTATATATTTTATTTTAAGTTGATTGTCATTAACATATGTAAATACATGCATAAAGAATTTTTTGTGTAATTTGAATTTCTACAATAAAATTCTTATAATTCTCAGACAAATTCTTTCAGTTTAAGTTATATAAAATTGTAATAAATGTATGACAACAGCAGGCTTAATTTAAGATGAATTTCAAATGTGTTAAGCATCTGCAAGTAAATTTAGGACTGGTACACGAAGTGAGTTTTCTAAAAAAAAGGGGGGAGGTGGTGCTTGAAAAGATGATTCTTAGATTAAAAAAAAAAAATTTAAATAATGCAAGAAATGCTCTTGTAGGCATTGGATAAAATATTTAGTTTAACTAACAGTAGCTATCCTTGAATTCATAGAAATTTGACATGATGTATTGTGAGATCAAACTGTATGAATTACTTAAGAAAATAATTAATATTTTGTATATTTACAAATTTTTAAAGGTTTACTGTTACATATTTGGGTATTTAAAGAAAATTATGCATATTAACATTTTTCTGGTTTCATATTAAAAATGTTGTTTGCAAGTTATATAAAATAGAAAACAAAAATATATTTTTAGCATACAAAATATAATTGAGTTTTTATTATTATGTTTAATTTTTGGCTTGGATCTTTCTGATATTAAACTAAAATTCAAGAGATATGGAAGGGGATGATTAGAAATTTGATTTATCACAGAGTCAGATTAATTTTAAAGTCTACATAATAAATTTAAAAAAATTCAATAAAATCAAATTCTATGCTTTACTTTTCACAATTCTCTTGTAATTCATATGCTGTAAATTTTGTTTGAAGTGTAGTTTAATAGTCATTGGATGTCTTGTCAAGACAACCTAACATGTGCTAGTTGCTCTGTGGAAGGATACCAGTGTGATAGCTGCAATACTGAGCCTCTGTATATAAACTCTGAAATTATTTTTTGCAAATGTTGCAAATAAGTAAAATTGGGAAGCACCCATATTGCAATAAACATACAGAAAAAAGAAGGTTAAATTTATAAGGAAATGTTGTGTAAAAACTCATAGGTTTAATACAAAATGAAAAAGAAAGGGTACTCAAACAGAAAGTTGATTTCTTGATTATTTTCAGTAGCATTAGTTCAGGAGATTTAGATGCTGATGCATAGAAGAGGTACTGGAAATCTTGAAACATCTTCCACATCGTGTGAAGGGGGACAAAAAAGAGGGGGAAAACTTATAACAGTCTGTTTCTTTGAATTTCACCAAAATTTGGTTTTATTAAAGATTTGATCAATGTCCACTGCCCTGTGGGTTTGGCAGTGCAAAGAACTTTCCTGAAACGTGATCAGGATCCTAAGCTTCGGAGGCTTGATAAGAATAGATTTTAATTAGAATAGATAGTCTTTAAAGTGAGCATGTCAGTGGGTGTTAATCTTTTCATTTCACTTGGCTGTCCTTCCAGTTTTGTTTCTTTAATTATAAGCTTTTAAGCCATATCCTCACAAGTAAGTATACGAACATTTCGTCACAAGTTACTTTACTTCAATCCAGTGCATACATTTCTTGAGTTAATGAGATTTCAGTAATGTTATTGAGCAGCTTTCATAATCCGTATAATATCTGTTATCTGCTCTAGTAAGGATGCAAATCTGCTAGGTAGATGGACTGATTGAAAATCATTAGATTTGCAGGGGTGTTTGTGCTCCGGGGAGGGATTTTGAACTTCGATCCCCGGGGATCGTCGTTCAAAAGGAAGTAGGAATAATAATGAATTATTTATTTTGTTCTGGGTAATTTTATTTGCTTTGAAAGCAGAAAATGCAAGGTCAGTGTGTATGGTGAAAACTTTTCCTTTCTTTCTCCAAAGGCAGTGATAATGCGTGAAAAGGGGGGAAAAACTTCTTTTTTGTTCTTTCCGTATTGCGAGTTATGACTCATTCCCCCGGTTCTCGGACATTCTCTTCTGGATTCTTTTCGGCAAGTAGGCGCGGCAGAAAAAAAAGGGAGAAACTTCGTTCGATCAGATGTGCGATCACGTGACTCTGGGTTCAAAGGTCTTATCTCTCCTGGCGTGGCGCCAGTAAGTAGAGAAGGGGGATTTTTCGCCGTATTAGCTATTTGTCATTGATCGCTTCTCAACTCTTTTTTTCTCCGCTGTGTAAAATTTTTGACTTAAAAACATGTATTTCAGATGAGTCACCTATAAAAGTCTCTGAAAAACCTTCTGCATTAGCAGAAAAGCAAACTGCTTCTATCTCTGCATGTGCAGTTCTCAAGGAAATTTCTTCGACTGTAAATGAGGAAAATAAAAGTCAGCCTTCCTGCAATTATGAAGTTCACCACAAAAGAAAGACAAGCCCACAAACACCAGAAAATAAAAAAAGGTAGCAGAAATTAGATAATTTTTTTTAAAGAATTAATTCAGGTAATTTAAAATATTTACATAAAATGTAATAGTTTATATGTTTGAAAATGGTATTATTTTGCAAAAAAAATTCATTGAGCTTTTATAATTAGGTCATTCAATACTTCATAATTGTAATTTTTCATTTCTCTCCCCTCCCTTCTCCAAACTCCAAAATGTCGGTAGTAAGTCCGTAAAAGTTTCAGGGGATTTTTTGGGGTCCCACAAACACCCCTGGATTTTTCTCTTTACTAGTGTACATTCATGAAGCTACAAGTATGTTTTATACTATTTATCTTGCTCTTTGTTTACCATTTCTCTTGCTTCCCCCCTTGAGTTGATTTTAGAAATGGTCTATAGTGTGTGTGTATGTGATTATGGTAAAGCCTCGAGGACTATCTGCCTAAAGGGAGGGATGCCTTCGTGCAGGACTTTCCAAGGGAAACTGGCTCGTATACACGTTACACATGGGGAAAACCACGAAAGCGCCCATGCAGCCCGACCGTTCGTGGGATTTGAACCTCAGACCGAACTACCAGTGTTCAGCGACTTTACCCCTCGGCCACTGGAGGGCCTGAAATGGTCTATAGATTAATGCTTGTTTTCTCATCTTTATATCTTTCGCAAAACAAATTAGTACTTCCACTTTAAGACCTCGGTATTGTATATTTCACAAGACACAATGTTTAAATCTAGCTGAGGTTTTGGAGGAAATGGTGAAAAATGTGCTTATTGATAGTGCATGAAAGCCATTAGTGATGTTATTCAGGTAGATACATTCTCTATACGTGTAACATAAATTGGAGTTACCAAAATATTAAAAACTGTAATGGAACAATGAATTCAAGAAACTAAGGGAAAAACTAGGGGTTTTTAATGGGTACTGTACTTTGTCAAAAGTTCTTAAGTAAATGCAGGGAAAGTATGATAGCAGAGCTGGAAGATATTTAATGTGTCTGCAATAATATCTTGCATACCAAGTAATTGAGCATAGGAAAGAGGTAGATAAACATGCAGAATACATAATGACTCACCATCTTGTAAAAAGATAACTAAGTAATAAACATCACAGAAGACATTTTTACATGTACTGTAGAAGAAATCATTGCTGTTATTGCCAGTGACAGAAATTATTCTTTAACATTTCTTTCTGCTGAACTATGCCCTGAAAAGAAAATTACCACGGTATTTAACTCTTCCAGTTCAGACTGGTAATTTTATCATGCTTTTAGTAAAGAAGTTAGCTGCAGAGAAATAGGTCGAACACAGGTCCAGATGCTGTCAATTATGAAATGCTGAAGTACCATATCTCCTCAGTTGAGGCAGGAAAGGGCAAGATTCCGTCCAACTATTGACTCTTTGTACTTATGAGTTAATATTTGGCACAGCTAGAATGGCAGACTAGACCGTATTTAATGTAATGTTAAAATTATATGAGTATAATTTGAACAAAAGGATCTATAATTCTTAATGTAAGTGGTACATAGAAATATGCCTGCTGCATTAGCACCAATTGTACGTATATATTTATTATATGCACACTCACTATCTCTACTAAAATCTTTACCCAAACTTTGTTTTTACGAAATCAATTTCGAAAAAATTATGAAATCTTACTTTTTGTACAGTCAAAAGTCGTTAATTCAGACACCCATAATTCGTACCTCAAAGCTAAAAACTTTCTGTGCACGCGTTGACACATGCACATAGACGTTTACACGTGCACATAAGACCTTTACGACTGCGCATATGTGTGTGTGCAAACGCAGAATACGTTTTCGCGTTCGCGTTTAATGTATAACGGACGGTATAAGAAAAATATCTAATTATCTATTTCAGTTAATGGTGATGATTGCATTGTTCCTTAATCTTCGAATTGGATCTGGCTGGTTATTTTTTGCACTGTAAGAACAATTTTATAAAAGTAAACTTGAACTTTCAATTATGTCAAATAGAATTTCCGATACTGGAGCTACCAAAGGATCTACAAAACGAAAGTATGTTTCGGTGTCCATCAAACAAAAAGTGGAATTGCTGCAAAAAATGGATAAAGGCATGAAGAAGGTGACAGAGAGGTTAGTGAAAACGAAAAAATTTCGATTGACAAGTTAGTCGGTATTCTCGGCACAGCAATTAACGGGACTTGAACAGCGGAACTTTGTAACTGAACAAGAAATTATGTCTGTTTATAGAATTAAAGAGAAAGTATTATCACATAAAACGAAGCAACTTAAACAACTTACATTGAAAGAAATGTTTAATAAAGTAAACAAATAAATATTAAGCTTTTTTTTTGTAAATTTTGATACCCTTTAGATCATAATTGTTCTTTATTTCATAAATTACGGTTTCATATTTTTAATTTTAGAATTTCTGCATGCCATCTTACGAG